TTTTGAACACACTCCAGAAGACATGGGAACTCGTGGATCAAGTATTGGGTGAAATTTTGCCTTGGTGGAGGACTTTTCGATGGAACTAACCAGCATTTTCGTTACATGGAGGAAAAAAACTAACACTTCCCACGGTTAGCCTGACGGGCTCTAATCCATGATCCGTCAACCACTGAAGATATTTCTCGCCAGCACTGTGGTCGGTGCGACCCGGGTGTGAAATTCGTATCGAAAAGCCATCGCTGGGTTTCGAACTCAGTCACCTCATTGGAAGGCGAATGCTCTATCCTCTGATCCTACACGGCTGTAATAATGTATGAATTAACAATAGTCTCTCAGGGACACAATCATTTGATTAGTTAAAAGCATTAAAATAAATAATAAAATATATCGGTAATTTTCCATTTCGCCGGCTCAGTTGCCATTGCAAACATACTGAGGGCAAGTAAATTCATTCTTTCCTTTTTTTGATTAAGAGACCATATTTTTTTTTTAAATAAATCGATAATATAGCGTAAAATTACTTAAGCCGGCAAAATGGTAAAGTGCCAATATTTCAATTTAATAAAATTTTTAAAAAATAAGTGTTTGAAAAAGTATTATTTGTATATTATTATATCACAATAGAATAATTAAACTTTCAACAACTTTCAATTAAACACTAATAATTAAAATTTCGAACAATTTCAGAATTGCTCGAGAGTCCTTATCATTTATTAATACTATGAAGTGGGTTTAAACGTATCCTTATATCTTAATAATTGTTTTTAAAACTATCTAATTTTACTCGAACAAATATTTTATTTCATTAAAATCTGGCTCTATAGACCGGATTGTTAAATTCATAAACTTACTAATGAGATGCTTTTACAGGTGCTCTCTTTCCGATGCTTTTTTTTCTTTTCTTTTTTCTTGACATGTTCTTTTTTTCCTTTCAAATACAAACTACGTTCCAGAAAAAACTGATTTTCAGAATTGTATTGATAAAATTTTGATCAAAATAAGAAAAAATCTTTCGAAATTTTAAAATACCATACGCTATCCTTTCTTCGATTCTAATTGGAAAAAGATCTTATATTTTACATGTTTAGAAAGATATGGTAGAGCACAAACAACATTTAACAATTTCTTTGTTAAAATTAAATATCAATCATTGAAAGAATATTTATTTTTTGTCAGCTGAATTTGGAGTCAATTGTCACACTGTTTCTGATTTCCTTCAATAATAATTCGAGGAAGTTCAAGTGGGTGATTTTTAGAGTGGATAAACCACGCCTTTGTTATGGTTGACCGATTTCACCTTTATGTATCAAATGCCAACTTTTCTTTCAAGTTATCTTAGAAGGACCACCCCCATCCTTAACCATTTACTGTACCAACTGTCACGGGTTTCTCTAGTTGCAATGTGATGGATGATTCCTAAAGAACTGCATAAAGGATGAGAAGTCAAGGTCAAATTTCGTGACTATTGATGATGAGAAATATTTTATTTGTGCTTTCTGTCAAGAAACTAAGGGGAAAAAAATTTCCTTTAAATTTAGCACCGTGACCTAATACATAGGTAAAAGAAAAAAATAGCTCGGAAAAATTGCACAAGGAAAAAAAAANAAAAAAAAAAAAAAAAAAGAGTTTCTTTTAAGGTACCAGTAGACAAAATTTTGAAATTTTTAATTTAGATTGCGTGTATTATATGCTGAAACACAATATTAATACAAAAAATTATGACGAAAAAAATTTTTTTAATTTGGTAAAAAAATGATGAAAAATTGATCTTCTTTCAAAATCACATAAATTTGCAAAATTTTTTTATTTTTTTCATTATTCTTGCCTCATTAATACTCATAAAAATTCAACTTAATATAGTGCATTTAGAATAAGGGAAAATAAACGAAAAATTAGTTTTGAGAAAAAGATAAAAAAGACACAGTTATCAATTTAATAACTAATATCGATGTTTTTTTNTAATTCTGTTCATTCTAATGAGAAAAAGCAACCCAAGAAACTGTATTACGGAATCTACATAAAATATCTTTCCGTGAACCAATAGAACAGGTGTTGAACCTGTTCTATTGGTTCACGGAAAGCTATTTTGTGGTGAACCATAGATGGGTGAAAATGATGGTGAAAGGTGAACCATAGAGAGGTGTACATGATGGTGAAAGGCAAGGACCGATCAAGACAAATTTAGGCCCAAGGCCCACAAAATTTTCCGGGCCCCTAACAGAATATTTTGAAATTAAATTTCTGAAGAGTAGTCCAAACAATAAAAATAATCTATTGAACTGCATGATTCAAGAGAAACATTCCAAAAAAATTTGAAAGGAGACAATTGACGATTATATTTCTAAGATAAAGTTTGCGCATCTAAATATTAAAGCAAAATATAAGACAACAAAACGATGTTGTATGAAAATAAAAATAGTTTGGTGACCACAAACAATTAAAATCGTGATTTTGCTAAAATCTACTGATTTGCTGAATTGTTTTAAAGATTGTAGCCTTCCATCTACAAATTTACATAATTGTTAAGAATAAGCTTTTAGTTCTTGTTGACACTAATTATGTATAAGAGACTTTGCAAATATGCATTTGCATTGCAAGCCGTTGGAGTAAAAATTGCACCAATTAAAATTGTACTCGCTCAGCTCGAATTTGATTAGTGCAATGTTTATACGAGTTTGGTTTATCACAATATGAAGAAAATTTGAAATAAAAATGCCTTTTTTCAGATAAACTGTTACTTTCAGTATTTTTTTTTAAATAAAAGTAATATTGTGTGTCTCAAAAATTAGAAAAAGTATTTTTTACTAATTTTTGAGGCCCCCAGAAAGTGTGGGCCCTAGGCCCGTGCCTATTGGGCCTAGGCGATAATCAGGCCCTGAGTTCAATATGATTGACGCTAACTGAATAAAATACTTTAAAAATATCTCCGAAATTTCGCTGCAACCCAATACAACGGTAACATCAGAAAATCTAAAATTTTGATTATCGGAATCAATTACTTCGGATTAATGAGGTTTTACTGTGTTTTGAATTAAAGAAGAAAGGCTTTTTTTTTTAAGAGGCTGAAAAGTCATACTTTTAATCATTTTTAATCGTTCGCAAAAAAACTGATGATGTTCAACAGTATCTTTGAGACATTTAAAATATCAGAATTTGAGAGAAAAATTACTTTTAGATTATATTTAAATTTTTTTTAAGAGTTTTGCAATAATCTATTTTTTGAAGGCAGTTAAAAAGTTTTTGATTTCTTTTTTAAATTTTCGATAAATATCCTTGTTTTTTGTGCAATTTACGTTATAAGTATTTTTTGCCATCATTGAAATCAGTTTTCAACAGTTTAAACTGTAATAAAATTAAATTTTAAAATGTCTGAAAACTAACTAACGTGTAATCTTAAATGCCTGATTCAGAAATCATAAATCACAAATTTCGATTGCTTTGAAGATCATAGAAATTCTAAAAATTATCAACACTATTTTTCCTAATCCAATAAAGTAACCATTTTTTGCCCACCTTCTTTGAAAAGTATTATGCTACCGAATACATCAAAAGTTTGTTAAGTGCAAAATAATAGATGGAGATAACGAAAATTAAGTATTCTTAAAAATCAAGATAGGTAAGTGAGGTCTCTTAACGCAGATTAATTTTTAAAAGTAAAATAAATAAATAAAATTTAAAAAAAGTCTACCCAATCTTCTTAAAAACTTATTTTTACATTGATTTAACCAACATGAATAATTTTTTTCAATAAATTAATACACTGCTAATTTAAATATATTAAGGATTTCTCCAATGTATTAAAACAACGAAACTTGCGCTCAAAAATTCATTAATGTGCACAAACGTAAAATTTTTGTAACTGTAAAATATTGATTTTGCTTGGCGAGTCTCAATGTCTTATTGACATTTTGAATGTTTAACAGAAGGTTCACAAAATGATTTAAAAAAGTGATAAGGATTGTTTTGAAAATAATAAGACACTTTTGTTTGATTTGAGTGCATGGAAGCGCATCAGAAGTGAATCCATTCTCAGACATTGTTTCTTAAAAACTGATTGTTGAGTCGCTTTAATTCCTGTCTCTTGATAAGATTTTCTGCTGACTTGAAAGACGCGCGAAATATTTTTTCAATTTTCGGATTTTTACATTTTTTTATAGAATCTTGTAGGATTTATCAATAGCAATTTTTTCAAGATTTTGTACATTTAAAATAAAGCCAAAAAATCTATGAAACTTGCTCAAAAATTTCTTATCAATCAAAAAAAAAAATAGTCCCATGTTTCATAAAATAATAAAAAGTTCGCAAATTTTGCCTAAAAAAAATTGCTTTAAAACTTTTTTTCACGATTATTTATAGAGCATGAACGATTTTTTTCGATAAATGAAAACTCCTAAAATATTATAACTCTAAATGATATATAAATAATATTATACTCTAAATGATACTCTTAATTTAAATATATTAATAATTTCATCAATAAACTAATACAACGAAACTTTTTTCCATATAGTAATGTTCTCAGTTTAAATATTTCTTTTATTTAATAATATATTAATGAAATGAAAATGTTTTCTATAAAATTTAAATATATTAATAATATCTGCACTATATTAATGCTACGAGACATTTTTAAACGCATTAATTCACTCTCGATTTAACTAAATTAACAATTTATCAACACAATAATTTTTTTCTAAAAAAACATTAAGACTCTCAATTTAACTTTATTAGTTATTTTTTCAATATATTTATGAAACAAAACTGTTCAATATATTAGAACGCTCTCAACTTAAATGCATTAATAATTTCTTCAATATATTAATCCAAAGAAACTTTTTTCAATACATGAATGAACTCTCTTTTAGCGAGATAGGTGATTCCGCCTCTTCTGCTTTAAAAAATCCGCTCTTCATCTTGAAAAACAGGGAAACGGAACGAAGAACTGAAAACCGAAAATTTGGCATTGTTGGCGCCATACTCATTCACACCATTTGAAAAATGTAGTAACCCTGAGAAGCAGCGGTAGCTCAACGTGAATGTTTACTCAACGAGAAGATAAATGTTTGTTGTTAATCCACGCGGTTACAGTCAGCGTGGAATCTTCTCTAAAAGAGTTTGCTCTTTCCCCTTAGTAATGAATTCGATATTTATCTGATCAGTTCATTTTATCTCATCATGATTCTTCCTTTACTTTTTGCATTATTTCATTTTTCTTTAGCATGGAGTTCTTCTTACGAAATGGAAGTAACTCGAACATGCGAACCTATACGAATTGACAGTTGCAAAAATATTGGATATAATGTGACAGGAATGCCGAACTTTGTTGGCCACGATATGCAACACGACGCGCAATTGCAAATCCAGACTTTCATGCCTCTGATTCAATATGGATGTTCTTCGAGGCTTTCATTTTTTCTTTGTTCAGTATATGTACCCATGTGTACTGATAAAGTTCCTCAACCTATTGGTCCATGCAGAAGTCTTTGCGAATCAGTGCAAGAACGTTGTGAGCCGGTGCTTTTAGAGTTTGGTTTTCAATGGCCAGTAGCTTTGAACTGTAGCCAATTCCCACCCGTAAATAATGAGAAACATATGTGCATGGAAGGGCCACAACATGAAGAACAAAAACCTTACCGTGATAGACGTCCTTTACGACATCAAAAAGGACCTGGTATTAGCCATCCTAGACAGAATCTTGTCAACAGCTGTAGACATTTGCGTTCACATGATCAGTTTTATTATATAAACATTACAAAACATTGTGTAGCATCTTGCCGATCTAACATTCTCTATTCAAAAGAAAACAAGGAATTTGCTCAAGTGTGGGTGGCCGTATGGACTGGCATCTGCTTCTTGTCAACTATGTTTACTTTGATTATGTTTTTCATGAATACTGATCGATTCAGATTTCCTGAAAAGATTATAATTTTAATCAGTTGGTGTTATTTCCTTTGCAGTTTCGGCTATTTAATCCGACTAATAGCTGGAAGAGAGCAAACTGCCTGTTATTGGAACTCTCACTTCAATGAATCTCTCCTTGTTCATGGTGGTCTTTATAACATTAATTGCACACTTGTTTTCACTCTATTGTATTATTTTGGAATGGCTAGCTCGATTTGGTGGATGATTTTGTGTCTCAACTGGTTTTTGAGTGCTGGTCTTGGCTGGAATATGGAACGTTTCAGTACTTATTTCCATCTCTTTGCCTGGTTCGTCCCTGCTGTCAAAACCATCGCAATTTTAGTAATGAATGGAGTAGATGCTGATGAATTAACTGGCATTTGCTATGTGGGCAATCAGGATCGACAATTTTTAGTGCGCTTCGTTATTGTGCCTTCTTTCACTTATTTAGCAGTTGGTGTTATCTTTCTAGTTGCTGGAATGTTGGCCATTATCAAGAACAAAAGCTACCGAACAAAAGTCAGTAGCATGGACGAGAAGTGGGAAACATTAATGGTTCGAGTTGGAATCTTCGCAGTTTTGTACACAGTTCCAGCAATTTGCATGCTCGTCACCAACTTCTACGAGTTTACAAAAAAGGATGAATGGCTGGCTCATGATTCTACTTCTCGTCCTAATGTAGAACTATTCACACTTAAAATATTCATGTCCTTGGTTGTTGGCATTACTACTGGTGTATGGTTATACACTTCTAGATCTCCGCAGCTGAGGAGACCCAAATTGAGCTCTCGTAACCAGAGAGTATGTAATCACCAAGTATTGCTGGGTCCTCAGCAAAAAATGACAATTGTCTAAAGAAGTGTGTCATTAGTGATCATTTGGGGGGACATTTTTATTTATTCTCGTGATCTGAGAATGAAATTTTATTCCACAATGTTCACGCCAAAGCTCGTGTAAGTACTGTGATTTTATACAATTTGACAATACAACTCTGTTTATGTTCATACTGGCAGTGGCGTAAATAACACTCCTGCAACCCCCGCGGTGCGGGGGGCGCACGAGGTTTGAGTGCGCATGATCCAGAAATAATACACTATGATAGGGGTGCACAATCTGCTTTTGAGATGCTGCCGGCTGCAGAACCGAAACATGATTTTAAAAAAAACTATTGTAATTTTTTGGAAGATAAAAAATATCAAAAATTATGAATTACGCATTTAAGCTTGTAACGCACAAAATCTAAATGTAGTTTTTCGATCCCTTTTTTTGGTGGTTATCGCTTCGAATTTCTAAAGCTTCAAAAATTCTAATATATTTAATTCCACAAAATTATGATGGTTGAATTTTCAATTTTAATTATCACTTTTGAAACAAAAAAGAAATAACTTTTTTATTCGACGTGCTTCATTTATGTCACCATTATCCTACTGTTTTCTTAATACTCTCTTTCTCTCAGTACTCATTTTCTATCGGTACTATTTCTTTCTCGTTTCTCTAAGTATGTTTATCTAAGTTCAACTCGTAACTAAGTTCTGACTTTTACTCATTTTTCTAAGTATCATATCGTTTCTCTGAGTATTTTTTTTCTATTGTTTTTCATTACTTATTGCTACACATTTCCACATGTTTAAGTAAATCCTGATATTTTTAACATAAATTGATACGACACTCGAATCGCGCATTTCAATGTGCGCTTTATTTGTGCCAATTTCATCGCAAATCTAAGAGTTTTTATTATTGTTCTTTTTATAGTTATTGTTAGATTTCGAAAATCCAGATATTTTTAATCCAGCATTAAAACAACTAGCAATTTTCGAATTTGTTGTTGTTTCTCAATCGTTTTTTTATTTATTTATTTTTTTTAAGTTGTTACTAGTTCTTTCTTTCTTTCTTTTTTTATCATTCTCAATATTTTTATAACACGTGAAATACGAACATGAGTTTTTTTTAAAAACTGTTTACCTCTTTTGAACTTTTTCTAATTTTTCGTGCTTAAAAAACCATTTTAAGATTTAACATTTATGATGAAATCTCTTATAATTCACGAAATATAAATGTTCTAAAGCTAAAAATATACTGAATTGAATCCTATTTAGTACTTTTCTAAATAACGCCTTTCCATCGCAATTATTAATTCCTTATAAATTAAAATAATTTATATTAAAATATGCAAATTAAAATACATAAATTAATATAAATTAAAATAAAATGAATGATTATAAGTACCCAAATATATGTATTTCCATAGTGTTTTTGCTTCATATTGTATTTTTGTAATAAGCGAAATACGAGCATGAGTTTTTTTTTAAGAACTGTTTACTGTTTTTGAACTTTATTTAATCTTTTTGTGACTTAAAGTGCTTGAAAAACCATTTTAAGATTTAACATTTATGAAATCTCTTATAATTCATGAAATATAAATGTTCTAAAGCTAAAAATATACTGAATTGAATCCTATTTAGTACTTTTTTAAATAATGCCATTCCATCACAATTATTAATTCTTTATAAATTAAAATAATTGATATTAAAATATACAAATTAAAATAGATAAATTAATATAAATTAAAATAAAATGAATGATTATAAGTACCCAAATGTATGTATCTCAATAGTGTTTTTGTTTCATATTGTATTTTTGTAATAAGCGAAATACGAGCATGAGTTTTTTTTTAAAAACTGTTTACTGTTTTTGAATTTTATCTAATTTTTTTGTGGCTTAAAGTGCTTGAAAAACCATTTTAAGATTTAACATTTATGAAATCTCTTATAATTCACTAAATATAAATGTTCTAAAGCTAAAAATATACTGAATTGAATCCCAACTGAATAATGACTCTTATTTAGAGCTATAATGCTTTTGCTTTATTTTAAATTGTAGACCCTATGCAATTTTTTTAATTAAAATATTTATTTTGCATTTATGTTACTTAATAAAATATTTATTTATTTTTTATTGTTTACTTTCATTCAAAAACATTTTTGTTAATTTATTTTAAAATAAACTTTTGTGTTCTGATATATGATAAAAAACTATCACTTCCCCTTCCCCATCTTTATATTTTTTCCGACAAATCTGCTCTTCGATAAGAAGAAAATATATAGATTTTTTTAATGAATTTCAGCATTTAAAAGAATTTGATTTTATGCAGATATATTACTAAGTTGACTAATTAAGAGAAGAAAAAAAAAGAATTCAGGTAATAAAAAAATAATTATAATTATTTAAAGAATTTAATTTCCTGCAAATATTTTACTAAGTTGATTGATAAATAGAATTGTGCCTCAAGCACTGATATTTTTGAAAGTATCATAATTGCCTCAACTTGGGCATGCAGCCCTTCATTCAAGGAAGGGTTGTTTCCCCAACTATTTCAATCACAATATTAATTTTTTCCTTAATAAAATATTTTTTTAAATTCACTTTATAAATAATAATAATCCTTTACTAAACTTTGAATATAATTATTGTAAGATAGTGAGTTATTTTCTTATATTATTATGATGAATTTCCTTTTAATGTGGTATATAGGTAAGTGTATACTATGTTCCTATTTAGTACTTTTCTAAATTATTCCTTTCCATCGCAATTATTAATTCCTTATAAATTAAAATTAAAATAACTGAAATTAAAATAAAGAAATTAAAATATAGAAATTAAAATATAGAAATTAAAATATAGAAATTAATATAAATTAAAATAAAGTGAATGATTATAAGTACCCAAATGTATCTTCATAGTGTTTTTGTTTCATATTATAATTTTGCTGAAAAAAAATCTTAAAAGTCTAAGATACCCCGCATTTATAAATCTTGCAGGTGGGCACACCTAAGTCTATGTACGCCACTGCATACTAGTGAATCAATTGTTATAATGTTTCGAACTTAGAAAAATCATCAGTACACGTGAATCATTATTTTTATGTATAAAGTGTATAGTTATTTTATTTGCACTGGTTTATATTTGTAATATAGCTTTATTTTTTAAATGTGTACTTAAGCATTTACTTAATTTACGATGTGCCTTATATTTATTAGTAAACAAACTATATATTATCAGAACAGATTTTAATATTGAACAATTTACGAATCAGATTTTATCTGGATCAACATTTATAACTAGTATTATAATATTGTTTATCAAAAAAAAAACTCCATTTATAAAATCTGATACTAATCTGAAATAGAATTTTTTTTTTAAAAAAATCTGAAGTATGTTTTTATTTATTGTATTTTGTAATATATTCTAAGGTCTGGTACAATATAGCTGCATTTGTAAGTAATCAATTGTTTTCTTGTTTATAACTTGTTTTCACATGCTTTTTAGATAAATAAAATGTTTTAAAATTAATAAAATAATTTTATCTCTGTCAATCTCTCTTTGGAAACAAGGTAAGCTATGATGATGCATAATCATCATTATTTCTCATTTATTTAAATTTTATAATTGACTAATGCAGTAATAAATAAAAAGTCAAAAGTGCTAGTAAGCTTTTTTATTATATGAATTTCTTTTCTATTTATGAAAAGTATTAACTTCTTCAACAAACCGTGAATAATTTATGTTCACCAGTAGATATATTTAATTAATTTTCTTTTTAGTATCTCATGCAAAAATTATTTGTTAATCTGAGATACTTATTATTTTTGAGATAATTATTATTATCTCTTACAAAAATTATGTATTGGAGGATCTGCGAAGAAATAACACTATCGATATCTGACAAAGCTACATAACATTAAAAACTGCTTGATTACAAGTTGAAACTTGAGGGTGTTGTCTTTGTTCTTCTGCTGCAATCATACAAGTTTTGGACACTTGCAGGGCCGGATTTAAGCTTGGTGGGGCCCTAAGCTACTGAAAATGATGGGGCCCTTATAAGTTCAATTCCATTTCTATACACCTAAAGTAAACTGTCATTATTTTTTTATTGTTGCGTATTAACATTATATTATTAAAAAATTTGATAATATTGCTTTATTGTTAAATATATTAATTGTGACGAGACTATTATGTAGAACTTTTCTTTTATTGCACATATTTTTTGAACGAGGGAAAAAAGTTACAAAAGAAACACATTTTAAGCACGGAGTAAAAATTTGGCGTGCTGGGCCACTATATATTTAACAGTCTTATTTTTAGATTCATTTTAATTATATTTTATTTGCAATTTTTAATGATTTTTTCGCGAATTTTTTTCTCAATTGCTTTTTTTTTACGTTACAAAATGTATAAGACTTAGAAACATGAAATTTTGAATCTGCGTAGAAAATATGCAAAGAGTTAGAAAGAAAACAAGAAAATACAATTTGATTATTAGTTTTATTTTTTTTTATAACCGCCGTTGAACAACCGACCCAATTTCGAGTTACGACTTCTAATATTCAACTTCGTGGCCTTGTAATTTTGAAACCAATCCAGATGACAAGGGAACTGCCAGATTAGTACCCAGGGGTATTTCTTTGTTATGAGAACTTGGAGGAATTTGTGACCCCGACAGATTTAACATGCACCAGTCACCATTTTATGCGTGGGTATTCCTCTGCCGGATGGATTCAAACTCCCATTCTCACGAACACGAGTTCAACGCCCTATCAACCAGGCTATCCCGGCCAAATTTATTAGTTTGTTTTATAACAGTCATTGCACAGACGACCCAATTTCGAGTTTACTACTACTAATATTCAACTCCGTTGCCTTGTGATTTTGAACCCAATCCAGAAGACATGGGAACTGCTAGATTAGTACCCAGAGGTATTTATTTGCTATGAGAACTTGGAGGACTTCGTGACCCCGACAGATTTAGCATGCACCAGTTACCATTTTATACATGGGTATTCTTCTGCCGGCTGGATTCAAACCCCCATTCTCACGAACACGAGTCCAACGCCCTATCAGCCAGGCTGTCCCGGCCAAATTTATTAGTTTATTTTATAACCATCGTTGAACAGTCGACCCAATTTCGAGTTTACGACTACTAATATTCAACTCCGTAGCTTTGTCATTTTGAATCCAATCCAGCAGTCCCGGGAGGGGAGCAGGTGAGGGCCATTGTATTAATACTGTTTGTAAAAATAAAAAGACCATTTCGTAAGCTGATATTATTTAATTGATGTTTATATTGAAAATTTTTCTTCATTATTTTTGCTTTCTTTTTAATTATTTTAAGTACATTTGTTAAATTTTCGTGCAAGAAAAAAAATGTCATTATTTATGTAAATTTTGGGCTTATATTTTTAAGGATTTATTAAAGGCTCTATTAAATATCAGAGAGAATAAATGTCATACGAGTTTAAAGTATCAGCTCTGCTCTTGATGGTGTATAGTGGCTAGGATGTCAAGGAGCATCAGTTCCGGGCATCCAGCCAAAACGAGCATTCAACATATCAATGGAACACACTAAAGCTTTATATCAATTAGCAATTAGTTTTAGATAATTACAATTGTAGAATAATTATCTTATTATAGAATGAAATGTTTTAAAAGACAAATATCTGTTAATGTTTAACATTTAATCAACGAAAAAACAGAACCAATATTGAAATCTAACGAATTTATTATTTTTAATTACTGATAAAGTTTGTGACAGAAAAAAAAATTTAAACCTGGTAGATTTCAGAATTTTTTAAACACCTTCTAGTTATACTATTCAATCAAATAGGTTTCGATGTCTTTCATCCCGGTCTCATTAGTGATTCAGCATATTTCGATATCATTTTTGTTTCGTTCTTACTTAATATTAATTTGTTTGCGACAGTTAATTTGTATGCCTCATTTACTACATTTTCGAGGAGTTTAAAAATATAATATTGAGGATTTTAACTTTTTTGTATGCCTCTTTTATTACGTCATCATCACACCCACACACAACTGTCTACTCTAAATAATGCTTTATAGAATGAGATAGAACAAACGTGTGTAGTTATTTAAATTCTTATTCAAAAGTATTAGTTAATTTTTTTTTGAACTGACAATTTCTGTCCCTTATTAGATATTTTAAAGTGCTATTTAAAACCGCTGCATTTCACATGAAAGCATTAAATATATCATTTGTACAATTTTAAAGTAAAATAAAAGGGAATTCTGATCCTTAGAAACAGATATTAAATAGTCTGATGATCGGATGATGGGATAAAAAAAACTTTTTTACCTTTTAAACTAAAAAATTATTTATTTATAAATAATTTATTAATACTCAAATTGCTTGAAAGATAATATGTTCCCTACTAATGAAAACCGAAGTTTTTTGTTTTATTCAGTCATTTATTTATATTTTATATGTCCGACAATGTGAAAAAGAAAAAAAAATGCATTTTGGGCTTCTGAGAGCCCCAGCTCCCAATAAAACTTTAAAAAAAGAGGGGAGAAAGCAGGATCTGGGGGCCCTTGTCATCTCGGGGCCCCAAGCTACAGCTTATTTAGCTTATACGTAAATCCTGCCTTGGACACTTGTCATAAATTTGAGATTTTGATCCTTACTTAGATATTAATTTGCAGCTCCCTGACATTTTGTCTCCGTTTTCGACAAGGATTCTAAACATATGTATGTTTTTATGAGGTTATTCAAGACCTTATATACCTTCAAACTTTTCGAAAAATATATTTTTGTCTAAACGCAATTGCTTTTAAAGATAATGTAACACCTATTTTGCTTTAATTTGCGCAAGTTTGATAGTTCTTTAGATAAATTTTTTCTGTATTCCTTTATATTCTTCGTGTGTTTTCAATTCTTTATTGATTTTTACAGAACGCGAAATTTTGCGAAAAAAATGCATAAAATTAGATTTTTTTAACCTTTTTTTTCCCTCTAAATTTAAATGAAAATTGATTCTTGTGTCGATTTATACTCCTACTAACTGAAGGAGTAATTTTTTATTTTTCCATTTTTACAAGTATTTTTAAAATATTTCGCATGACTTATTATTAGAAATTTCTCTAAACTGTCATATTTCTCGAAATCAAGCCAAATATTTTCTAAAAATAGCAATAAAATTTTATGTCAGTTTAAATAAAATAAAAATAAAAATCTAAAATGTTCACTTACAAGATTCACAAAAATCTAAATGTTAACTCATAATAGTTCAAATAATCGAAAGACAAGAATATAGATTTTGCTGTGACATTATATACAAATAATAATTAAAAAACTATATGCGTACTGCATATTTTTCAGAAGTTTATTTATACTTCACTTCCTTAGTAGTATTTATTACTTTATATGAGTAAGCAATTTTATTGAGTAAATGAGTTACTGCTGAACAAATAAATTCCTAAAACTAAATATTTTAAAATCTGTTCTATTTTTACTTGAAATCTTTTTAGTATATATTGTTTCATATATTTTTTAAATTCGCATTACTTCATTTTCTCCATATGTTTAATTTATTTAATTTGATTTTAATATCAGACCTGCCGATTTTTGAGAACGGTATTTGCTAGTTGTAGCCAATTTTATGCTTTAATATATAACTCTGGTTTTAAAAAGTTTGATTAAAAATTATTTTAACTACCACAAATTAGCACGCTGAATGCTATGGGGGACACCGGTGACCAGCACCGAGTTTGTCCGTAGTGCCATGGGGGTCACCGGTGACCGGCGAAGCCAAGATTATCAGAAACACGTAATTCGAGTAAATTTTTAGTGTTTTTAATTGTTTTATATTATTATCGTTACTAAAATGGTTTGAAGAAATTAATGCAATACATACTAAGAAAATCATTTTCGAAATATGGGCAAGCCATGTAAAATTAGCGTGGCATTCAACGTGTTAAAGAAAAACATATGCAGTGTATCTACCACTACAAAAATGTAATTCCAATTCACTTGTATAAAATACATTTTAACTCGATACTATGTTGGGGTATCTTTTCGTAGATGAAGGTTGACATTGTCAATAACTACTATCACATTGGTGACCTTCGGACACGATGTGAACATGACTACCTTGACAGAAATTCCCAATTCAATATGAACACGCCAACTTAATTGGATGGTCCATATTGAACAGTTGACTAGCTACATGTTACTGTGACGTTATCCACCTCCTCGCGCTGTTGCTACTTAGTCTCGATCACACGCAATGTTGACTGCTCGCAATGACAGCATCTCGACTGCTAAAGGCAACACAGGATCGACTGTGAACTTAAAACAGCTCTCACGATCAGCATTCAAAAGTACGGTGACCCTAATACAGCTCTCCCGGCTTCTCACAAAAACAGCAATGAATCAGCTAGTGGTATCCATTCCTCGAATTCTATGAGAGCTATAATTGTGGTGGAGAAGTACTCTAGTGTATCTACCACTATAGAAATGTAATTCCAATTCACTTTACTCGATTCTATGACGCGGTACTTTTTCAAAGATGAAGGTTGA